AAGATCAGCTGACAAAATTGTGCGACATGGAGGTGATATCCACAATGCTGAGGCCATGTTTTACCAGTTGAAAGACTTAGGCACTTCAGTGGAACTTTTTCTTGTGGGAGAGGAAGATGTTGAGAAGAAAGTGCAGGAAATAATGGCTGCACAATGGAAATCCACCAGCTTCTCCATAGGGACAATTAAATACTGTGACATAACTTGCCTATGCCAGGTAGACAAAGGTATACTGGATTGTTCCTGCTATGGTCTGAAGGAGGTGAGCCTGGTAGAAGAGGCAAGGCCATGTGTGAACAAAGAACCATCCCGGCTTGAGGTCATCACAAAAGAAAACATTGGGCACTGGTGCGTTGTACAAAATGATGCTGAACCCTACCCAGGAATCATTTTGGAGGTTGAAGATTATGTGAGTGAAATGCATGCATAAAAATGGGACCAACCAGTTCTACTGGCCAAGTCCACGAGATGACATTAATTGGTACACAGGTGACCAGATTGTATGCCTCATGAGAGCCGCAACCTTTAAATAAAAGGTCTGTCCAGCTGGAGAATACAGTGTAGGATTTCTTGGAAGGATTTGCTGAATAGTCTGCCGTTGCAGAAAATATATCTGACTGTTAATGATAAATGGTTGTTAATATAAGTTACATTTAAAATGTCTTATGTTCATGTGAAATGTAAAGGCATTGCCTTGACTATGTATTGTTAAGATGTCCACCATGTTACTCCTCTGTCCACCCTGTTACCGGTGTGTTTTTTCATGATGATTAAATGAAATCAACAAATATTTGTGGTCACTTGCAGGTAATGAATTTGCAAAATGATCTAAACTAAAATTACAGGTAAAATTACATTGGAATTCCCTATAATCCTGAAAGAAATGTGGGTAAATTACATAGAGCGTCAAATTAGAGAACAATGGTTTCTAAAGGTTTTTTTGTAAATACTGTTCAATGTTTATTTTAGGAATAGTGGGGGACATTTTTACTCAGTTAAGCTTTTCTGATGTCTGTATTTTCAGCAATATTTTTAGTCATTTTTAGATTTTCTCATTTTATTTTTCAGCTTCTCTCATTTCTGTATTTTCAGCAATTTTTAAAAATTCATTTCAGCTTTTAGTGTTCAGCATTCCAACGCATTTTCTAGGGAACCTTAGCTGGCCCAGATCTGGCGCAAATACTGATATCAGATTATAATTTTGCTACTGGCCCAGACCTTGGCTATGTACTGCATGATGGGTTGTCTTGTTGCCATGGTGACCTAAACACCAACCCACTTTTATTCCACAGGGTATTTTTGCATTTTTTTCATCATGTGTCTTTCAAGGTGAAACGTGATACTTGGTTTTTCTGTCAATTAATAATACAATTTAGCTGAGCTGCAGTTTTTAAATGCTAACATATTGTGTTTTAAATATAAAAATCATGTTTTACCTTTCCACAAAGGCAGACTAAAGCCTAGTTTATGCTTCTGCGTTTTCAGAGCGACGCAAGACCCCCTTGCGTGTCCTTGGCACGCCTTTTCACACCTCCTTGCGTCTGTCGAGCCATTTTTCTAGGCTTTCGACGCAAGCGACGTAAGCCTCCCGCAGCGCACAAGGCTGTGATTGGACCGCTAACTACATCCTTTATAGAGTCTCACAATTCCGTTTTCATAGCATGATACCGCCATTATTAAAACGAAGAATGTTTACCAGAGAACGGATCAGATTTAAGAACTTTTGTCGGAAGAAATGCGGAAATATGACCGCTTATACAAGCCGTCATTGGCGGGTTGTATAAGCGGGTTGGAAAATACGGGACAAATGTGTCCGCGATGAAAAGCAGCAGTGGCGATGCACGGGGCAATAAAGTCTATGATAAATAAATAAACAAATAAATAAATAGAAGTGACTCTCTAGGTCATCTTGAATTGAAACAAGTGCGTTGACGCAACAACGCAGACGCAGAAGCATGCGCCGGCCTTAAGAAAAAAACAAAACCCATTGAGGTACAGAAGATACTGTCAAACAAATTACACCTGATAGCTACACAACTATATTGATGTAAATGTGTATTTCTGTTAGAAGTCAAAAACCAAAACAAATATAAAAGTTTAATTCAAATGCAGCCTTTGTAAAACTATATTTTACACCCAAATTAGTAATATTTTGATTTTAGGAAATGGCTGCAATGAAACATTTAGTGAAACATTTAAAGGGGTCTGAATACTTTCCGTACCCAGTGTATGTGCCTCTTGTCAGAAAAAATACTCATTCAGTCAGTTTCGATCAAGTCAGATTCCTGAAGTTGGCTTTCAAGATTTTGGGGGCCTTGCTGGTCCCTTACTGGTAGAAGACCCTCATCCATTTCAAATTGAGAGACATGTTTTCTGGCATGTAGAATTTCTAGGATGTGCGTTTGCTGCTTGCTCTCCTGCTTGGTGAGAATATCCCGCATTAATGCTGAAAAAGAAATATGTAAAATATGACATACAAAAGAATTAAAAGTTGATGACTTGTTAGGTGATGAATTAGAGAATTTGGCTCCCATTAATGAAACAGAATGAAGCCATTTGATATAAAGGAGAGTGCAACTTAGATTTAGGGATTTAGGTTGTATGTTTTATGTCCATTCAAAAGTGCATATTTGACAATGTATATGCTTTACACAAATGTGTGTGTAAATTAGGGTTGCCACCTTTTAGTATAGAAAAATAAGGGCCATACGACCAACGGCGGGGGCAGCGCGGATGTTACGGGACAGGAAGGCGGCTCGGGAGCTGCCTCCGCCATTCTTTCAAATCGACACTCCGCCAATAGTCCCGCCCTCCTCTGACTCTGGTTTATTTCAGGTTCACGGCCAATAAAACCAATGATGGCAGCGAGTGTTACCCAATTAGGTGCTGAATAGGATGCTGCATTGGGACATTGGGACAAAATACAACAAAATGTATAATGTCATGAAGCTGTCTCTTCCTTTCCCTTCCTCCCAAACAAATGGGGGTTTTTTAAACCGCAACGTTCCACCACTACTAAATGCATTCAGGATAAACCCCAAAACAATATATAAATAAATGAATGCTCTAGCACTTACAGTTGGTAGTTTCCTCGTGAATCCAGGACAGGCACAGGCACTGGCTGAGGCCATGGATGATCAGGATCTTAGATTTGGGTAGAAAAAAATCACGCCTTTTAGTCAAACATAAACACTTCATGTGGTTTCAAATTTGAGTTAAGGACAGTTTAGCATCTACTGCCTTCCATTTGCATATATACAGTACAGACAGATTGGAGTTAATCAAAACATCTGACTCTAAGCAAGAAAGTAAATAAGCATTAGATTCTGTCTTTTTACTTCTAGATCCTAATCAATAGTTTACCACCTGTATAGATTATGCTCACAAATCTATACTTCTCATACTGTAAAAAACAACGTGTAGTTTTAATCTCTGATTGGTATCTTTTTTATTTCCTCTTGGGTATTTCTAACTGATTGTTTCTTATATAATGTGTGGTCATAGCTGCAATACCTTCCTTTTACAACTTGTGCATTTTAATATGATTTAGATAAGAATGAAGTGCTCACAATCATAACTGCTGGATTTACATTTTTTTAAGTGGTGGTGGGTTGATCATTGTGTTTCAAAGGGCTTGAAATCCCAATGGTTTGCGACTCATACTGTACTTACGTGTATGTTTGGGCAGTCTAGGCCACACTCTCAAACTTTCTGCGGAATTTTCTAGTTTCTAGGGGGGGCGCAGCAGTGCCCGCTTGAAAATGACGCCTCTCCACCGTAGGCCTGATCATCGGCTATGATTTTTCGGGCCCAATTGTGATCAAAGTGGGTACTATGTGGCCCCTTACCTAAAATGAGTTTAGCCATGAGTGAATGAGTTGTGGTTTGAATGAATGCCTCTTTTTTAGCTCGAACTAGTATAATAGTGTATAATAGTGCAGTGTAGTCATACAGAAAATAGTCCTATCTTTGTTTTAAAGACAAAGTGGTCCTTGATTTATGTAGAATTTTATTTTATTGACTTCCTCTGTCTTCTTTTCGTCTGATACTTGCTTGATTGATTGTCATGTAAATACAGACAATATATCTTTGTTTTTTTATTACTTGAATTCATGACATTTCATTATGGCCTTGTTTATAACATGCCCCTTGAGCAAAATGATCACTCGTGGTCAATGATACTTACACGCATAAGCTACCACCAAGACCCACTGTGAACTGACCACCTGATGCGTCCTGCTAAGCGCATAATGGGAAGATACATCACCAAAGTGGCAGCTCTTCGCACAGTTTGTGCAAATGCTTATGAAGGTAAAGGTTAAAAATTAAAAACAACCGAGGCTCTGTAGTCTGAACCACGATAGTAAGCTCTTAATTTCTTCAGCATTGTTAACAACATTTTACAGCTACACGGTTTCTGTCCCCATCTTTTAGTCAAACGCCATTGACTAAACACTGCATAACTCCTTATAAAAGTGAACTTAAATGTACTCAGAGCAATTTCCGAAGGGGCAATTCAACAGAATAGTTTACAGGAGCTTTGTCCATGATGTGAGACAATGTCAAAATTCCCAGAGATATTGGGTCAAACATCTTCTGCCATTTGTATTTCTTCTTTTAATGTTTACACAAGGTGCATTGCTGTTTTCCCGCCACTAAAAATATCAATGCAGTAGAACTTTGCACACGGAAAGAATGTACATGTTTATGTTAATCTTTACTAGAGACGCATGTGGAAACACATGATCACGCCCTTGTGTCTTGTTATAATGTCTTATCGGTTGATTGTGTCTTATAAACCTTCCAAGTCTCAACTTGTCAACTCATCAATCATACATTTTTACCTCGCTAAGTACTGTATTGGTAAACATGAGTGTGAAGTGTAAAGTTTGCTGATGTTGCGTGAAAGTCTGACAATCTTTCTGTCGAGAGGCGGCATAGAAGGTAAATGTTGGTTGATAATAACCAACCAAACCCTTTTTCCCTGTCTGTCTACTCAGTGTTGTCTTGCGCTGACCCTGGAAAGGTAGAGCACAGCAGGCGGGTGCTGTCAGGTCCCCATTTCACCGTGAAGTCAACCATCCAGTACATCTGTAACAAAGGATTCACTCTGTCCGGAAACAGTCTGCTCACCTGCTTCAACAGAGGGTCCATGGGCCCCAAGTGGAGCCAGAAGCTGCCGAGATGCCTGCGTACGTAAGAGTTTGTGTTTCTCATGGCCTACATGTTGACACCAGAAACTGAAAGGCACTGTGGCACCTTATTTACATTCAAACCATACATGTTCATTATTAACAAAGTGCACTTTGTTTACTTTACAGAGTAATTATTCATTTTGACTTGCTATAAAACTATATTTAATTGTCATAATTATTGTTATTATTACTGTAATTGTCTAGAATTAGGGCCCGAGGAAATATTCTTATTCTTATTATTTCCCCGTGTCACAACGGGTGAGTGGAAGCAGGACTCAAGTGCAGAGTTAACAAAAAAACTACTTTATTAATCAAGGGATCGAAATCAAAATGCCTAGAACAAAACGCAGACAAGGACCAGGAACTCTTCAGGAAAGACATTAAATGACGCAACAAGGGAGACACATGGCTTAAATACACTGGGAAGGTGCAGGTGATTGGACACAGGTGGAACCAATCAGGGACACGAGAGACAATCACGGGTTGACAGGCCAGGAAGTGAAACTAAACCAGGGACACAAGAGGCAGGCAACTACAAAATAAAACACCATGACACTCCTCTTTAAACGCACTTTTGAGGCCTTTATCATATTTCACAGATTGACTTAAAATTTTACATACAGGTGCTTTTGGATATGCTCTACAAAAAAGCGAACTCCTCTCAGACGCTGGGTCCGATTCTTACTAAGTTCTTTCTAAGCTTTCAGGGAATCACTATTGGCTCAACGCCATCTGAATTTATTAAAAGCTTGTTGATATCTCATTATTATGGACCAATTAAGTTTGTAAGGGGTGTGGCCTAATGGTTAAAGACCTATAATTTCAAAAGTAATTGGCCTGGCCTCACCAAATCTATAGGGTATGTTCACATTGAGTCCTTGAGCATACCCTAATTTTCGCCAAAATATTTGAATATTAGGGGGCAAGTATTCCCATGCAGTGATTTTCACAATTATAGAGCTGCCAATTAGCATAGGGAAATACAAAGGTCATACACTTTAATGAGAAATGGGGAAAACTCTTAAAGTTAAGTCAGTGTCCTAGGTGATACCATTAAAGAGCTGATGTGAGGACGGCAGAGTCGGGGTATAAGTTTCTTTCATAATGAAGATGGTTTACGAGAGAGGGTAAGGTCCGGTGGAGGTGACGAGGGAGTTCAGGAGGGTAATGTGAGTGGCGGTGGCTGGTCTGTCATGCGGGAGTCCTAGGCAGAGGAGGAAGAGGTTAGAGAGTACCAGCAGAGTAGGATTGAACATTACATTACATTACATTACAGGTCATTTAGCTGACGCTTTTATCCAAAGCTACTTACATTGCATTTTTAAACCAAGGCTTTTACATTTTGCCCGGGGAGCAATTAGGGGTTAGTTGTCTTGCTCGGGGACACTTCGACATGGGACATGGAGAAGTCGGGGCTTGAACCACCAACCATGCGGTAGAAAGGTATGTACTTCACAAGTTGATGCATCTCCGTTTAGCAAAAGTTGTGTGATTAGTCCCATTCTTGACTGAATGGGTCCTACATATGTCAACGTCAATGTCAATTTTATTCATACAACACTTTTAAAGGCCAGTGGCCAGCCAAAGTGCTTTACAGGATAAAAACAATCAGCATCAATAAAACAATACAAGCAAACGTAAAACAAACAAACAAGCAAAAATAAACAGTAAAACAATAAAAGGCAAACACATAAAAGATCGATGCAGGTGACTTAACTTAGCCAAAGGCCAATGTGAACAAGTGAGTCTTAAGGCGAGTTTTAAAAGTGGAAAGGCTCGTCGCAGACCGCACAGAAAACGGCAAAGCGTTCCACAGCCTGGGAGCCGCTACTGCGAAGGCTCGATCTCCTTTTGTTTTAAGGAACGACCGAGGAACGTTCAGAACCAGCTGGTCAGCTGACCTCAGGGCTCTGGAGGGTTGATGCACATTAATAAAGCTGGATAAATACTCTGGGACCAGTCCATGCAGAGACTTAAAAACAAATAAAAGATTCTTAAAATCAATTCTGAACCTAACCGGAAGCCAGTGGAGAGAGAAAAGCACTGGCGTTATGTGCCCATGCTTCTTCGTCCCGGTCAGGAGACGGGCTGCTGCATTCTGCACAAGCTGTAGACGGTTGAGTTCAGACTGGCCAATACCGACATACAGGGAGTTGCAATAGTCCAAGCGCGAAGATATAAAAGCATGCATGACTTTTTCGAGGTCAGCCCTGTTTAGATAGGGTTTGACTTTGGCTAGAAGCCGAAGCTGGAAGAAGCTAGCCTTAACCACAGAGCTAACCTGCTTGTCCAATTTAAACGCCCCATCAATTCTGGCCTGGGAAGCTATGTAAGGTGCTAGTGGGCCAAGGGACCTGGCAAGGACCTGGACCAAGTCAGGGTGACCAAATAGCACAATCTCTGTTTTGTTTTCATTTAGTTTTAAGAAGTTTAGGTCCATCCATGTTTTAATGTCCGTCATACAATTAAACACAGCATGAAGGGATTCCTTGGAGGGGGCCTTTAGTGGCAAGTACAGCTGCACATCATCAGCAAAGCAATGGAAAGGGATTCCATGCTTCGTAAATATTGATCCCAGGGGGAGCATATACAAGGAGAACAGTAGAGGGCCTAGAACTGACCCATGGGGGACTCCGCAGGTCAGAGGAGCCACTGAGGAGAAAAACTTCCCCAATTGTACACAGAAGGATCTATCTGTAAGGTAGGATTTAAACCACTCTAATTAGAGGCAGAACCTCTAATGCCCACACGAGGCGGGACAAGAGGATAGTGTGATCCACTGTGTCGAATGCTGCTGTGATGTCTAATAGCATTAAAAAGGCGCAGTTACCAGAATTAAGATTTAAAAGAAGATCATTAAAAACTTAAAAGAGCTGTTTCGGTGCTGTGAAGAGGCTTAAAACCAGACTGAAACTGTTCACCAATGTTTGCACGACCTAGGAATTCTTGCAATTGGTTAAAAACAGCTTTCTCCAAGACTTTGGAGATAAACGAAAGTTTGGAGATATGTCCTGAATATATGGTATGGCCAGAAATTAGAAAGAACCAAAGGATCCAAACTTTTCCTTTTTAAAAGAGGCTGCACTGTGGCATGTTCGAAGGAGGCTGGGACGCGTCCAGAGCTATGACACAGGTTTATAAGAAACAAAATAAAAGGCCCAACTGAGCTGAAGACCTGCTTAGGCAAGTGGGATGGAATGCTGTCCGATGGGCAGTTAGCAGGGCGTAGGTGATTAACTATTTCAGTAAGTGCAGAAAGTGAGACAGGCTCAAACTGGTGAAAAACAGCTGAGCTTGCTGTAGGATTAGCGGGGTCCTGCAAATGCTGGGGGGGTGAGGATCTAAGGGCAGAGATTTTAGTGACAAAGAATTGCAAAAAGTCCTCACACAGAGAAGCAGACAGAGACAGCATCACAAGGGTTCACTAGTGAGTCAAATACATTAAAAAGAACCTGAGGTTTGTGAGCGTTTTTGGAGTCAAGTGAGGAAAAATATTCAGCTTTAGCAGCTTTAACAGCCTGTTGATAATTAAAAAGGCGATCACGTAGGAGATCCCGAGAAATCTGGAGATTGTCTTTTTTCCACTTCCTCTCCGCCTGTCTGCATGCGCGAGTGCACGAGTCTCACTCGTGACTCATTCAGCCAAGGCTCAGTCTGTGGCTTAACGCGCATTAAACTCATAGGTGCAATGGAGTCCAGGATCTTAGTGCAGAGAGAATCAAACAACTTCATACAAACATCCACATTGAAGTCGCCAAAGTCCTCCAGAGAATAGGAGTTTTTCCAGGCGGCGTTAAAAGCACGGCGACAGCAAGCGGGCGCAGTGTCTGTGGTGGGGGGCGCAGGTAGTGAGAGGGAAAATAAAACAGGTAGATGGTCGGAAAGAGGAATGTGGCATATTTCAGTTATTTGTACATCCAGTCCACATGACAGTACAAGATCCAAAATATGGCCTTTTTCGTGCGTCGGTTCCGAAATAGACTGCGTGAGATTAAGAGAGTCAATTAGATTCAAAAAGTCTTTGACAAGCGGTCTGGTCTCACAGCAGACATGCACGTTAAAATCGCCGACAATTAGAAAGTGATCATACTCGAGAATAATACCCGACACAAAGTTTGCAAAGTCCTGTATAAAGTCCTTGTTAAATTTCGGTGGGCGATAGATCACAGCACAGAGAACAGTCACGGGGATTTTAACCTCAAAAAGTTGGAGCTGAAAGCTGGAGCCATTGACAGCTAGATGCTGCTGGACATGAAAGGTGGATTTAAATACGGATGCCAGTCCTCCTCCTTTGCCGGTGGTGCGAGGGGAGCTGAGGAAACTACATCCTGGAGGGAGGAGCTCTGAAAAAGGAGCAAGATTACCTTCGCGGAGCCAGCTTTCAGTTAAGAACATAAAATCCAAAAGTCATTCAGTAAAAAATATTATAGTGACTACTGGATATTTAAACACAGCAAGGCCAGTAGCTTAGTCCTAAGGTATTTTGTTTACAAAGCCACAGACTCCCACACCCACCATTTTTTTGGGGACTTTTTTTTTTTCGTCTTTTTGACGGCATGTCCGGCTGATGGCTACCCCCCCGACATGCAAGGGGAGGCGAAGGCCTGTTCATCGCTGCTTGCAGCTTTAATTGGTATTAGAATGGTGGGCAACAGATGACTTCATTAAATATTTATAGACGGTAGTTGGAAAATGTTAGCTGTATTTGTTGACTCTAGTTCAAAGAGTTCCATCTGTCTTTCTCATGCCCAATCATCAGCTGCTGTCCCTCTCTTTTCTGTCAAACCTTCATGCAAAATAATGTAATGTAACGTGAGGTTTGTATAAAGTATCTTTTTTAGTGGAAAGACAAAAACCCTGTGATGTGGGATCAGATGAAGATGGCAGATGAAGTGAAAAGCACTCCTCTTCATCATCATTACCACTTCATATTTTCAATCCACATGCAATTTCAACCATTTTTGAAAGCTTCCTATGGGCAACTTCTTACACTTTCATCTTTTCATTGAGTAGTTTTTAGGAATTAGTTCAGGCCATTATGTTTAAATGATTATCAAATCTTCAGATTAAAAATTACATTTACAGTCAAATATACAAGCTTTATCGAACCCTTCCAGTTGGGGAAGTTTGTCTATTTATTGGTATACCTAACATTGCACCGCCTCAACTTATATTCTGTTCTTTGTAATTCCTGGTAATAATGCGGTCTGTAGGATATTTTACTTCCTTAACCCTTTAAGCAGTAGCCTCTTTAATGGCCTCTGCTCCAAAAGTTTAACACCCATGATAAAAAGTGTAATGACTCTGGAAATACTTTGTCTATTTGTACAACGTATTTTTGTGGGGATAAAGGAGAACCCCTGTGGGTGCTATTATTTGTGATAATCAGTGTGATGGAAGATTTTGCACAGACAATCGTTAAGTAAGAATCAAAGGCTCTGAGTCAAGTATGTCTTTCCTCCGTTTATTTCCTTGCAAGGGAAAAAGGGTCACAACAGCTACGTGGTCAGTAGACTGTCAAGAACCTCCTTTTTCCTCCCAACACATCGAGGCAGTTCTTATACCTAAACTTAGATATCGGTGGCGTCAACAGAAACCGTTAACCATCTTGTTGAGTATCTACAGTCAGGATACTGGGAACATCTTATCCATGTAAGACACGTCAGTTCTTTGACCGTATCCTTGCTCTCCCAACATTCAAAAACAAAGGTGGTCATAGACATGACAAACACTTTGTTCAATCTCTACAGCTATGACGCTGGAAACATCTAATCCAAGTGGGAGACATCAGTTCTTATGTCAGGGCCTTTGTGACCTAAGCACTTGCAACTAATAAACTGGTTATACAAATGAAGCATTTAAAAGGGTCACATATCATTTTCCCATTACATTCCACTCTTTTGATTACATAATAATCACAAACTATGCAATCAATTTAGAATGACTACTCTAAAAATTTAACAGCTGATAATCTGCCACATCAAATATCACAAAACATTGAACATCTGGACATCGCTCACAAAACTTTTCCTGCCACAGAACAAAAACTCCCTAAAAAAACCCTCCGAAATGGGAAAATAGGAAGAAATCTGTTAGGAGAAGATAAAGACTGGAAACCTTCTCACAGGATTTGAGCGTTACACCCCAGATGTCATGTGTACAGTATTGAAATAAAAAAGAAATGAGAACATGTTTAAATCACAATACCAGAACTTGATCCCCTTTCACACAATACAGATATAGAATATTGTGGAAAGGTCATTATATCAATCATATTTACGTTACATACTAATAAATGCAAGAATAAAAGCTGTTTTTGTGAGAA